CGTGGAGGGTCCTCTTTTTTTATTTATGAGATATGGTAACCCTAGTTTAGCAGCTGGCAGAGGGGGGTGAATCCAGGTCTGTTTGCATTAGGAATCCTCTGTGCAATGTAATGACATTAATGTAATTGATGCAACTGCTAACATAGATGCACTGCAATGGTGCAGAAAGGGGCTTTCCCTGGTGCTGTTCATGGCAGTAAGTTACCAGAGCAGGACACGCTGCTCCAGAGCATCTGTGCGAGGGGTTTGCACAGCTGTATCTGCCTCACCATCCTTACACTGGTGCCAGCTGCCCTGCTACAGGCGGGCCATGAGTCCCAGCTCCCTGCTGGACTGGCCGGCTATTGGGATGGGCAGCATTGGCTCACCCAGCGTAAGGTGAGATCTGTGATGTTGGGGTTCCCCAGGGAGCCCCCAGAACACAGTGGGGTCAGATGGTGGCGATGGCACCAATCAGAGGCTCCCAGAAGTGAAAGGCTCCTTGCTGTGCCCTGTCCCTCCTAGGCAGTATTGGCAGGATCTCACAGGCCTGGCAGCCTTTCTCCTCAGGGGGCCTGTGTATTTCCTGTACAGGGTGTGAAATGTGAAATTGTGCCGCACACAACTGAGTTGCTCCCTGAAATGAGTGACACAAATCACACACTGAGCAGGACTATATAGCATTATATGCACTGACTGCCCTGCTCTGTTCCGTGCGTGAGCACTAGTGCGTACGGCACACTGCACCCATTACAGCTCCAGGGAAATACATGCCTGGCGCATGACCTGCTCGTTCTTTGATCACTTCTGCCTCAGCTGCTAATGTTCTTCCAAATCCCAGCCATGGGGGAAGGCTTAAAAACCAGCTGCAGAGCTACTGCGGTGCAGAATGAGAAACAAAAAAAAGTGACTGGAGGGATTTGAGTCAGACTCCTTCCTGCGGCAAAAATAAAATCACACAGCAGGGCACAGATTATCCAAGTTCTTGGAATGTATTAGAGACAATTTTTTATTTCAGAAGGCGAAGATAGTAGGGAAGAGACTGTTCTAGATTTGATTTTGACAGATAGGGAGGAACTGTTTGAGAATTTGAAAGTGGAAGGTAGCTTTGGTGAACAATCATGAAATGGTAGAGTTCATGATTCTCAGGATTGGTAGGAGGGAAAACAGCAGGATAAAGATAATGGATTTCAAGAAGCAGACTTTAGCAAACCCAGACTTGCTTCCCATTGGATCTTACCTAAGGGGAAAACCGGTTCAAGAGAGTTGACAGTTTTTTCAGAGACACATTATTAAGGGCACAAGAGCAAACTATCCCACTGCGTAGGAAAGATAGGAAATATGGCAAGTGACCACCCTGGCTTAACCAGCAGATCTTCAATGATCTGAAACTCCAAAAAGAGTCCTACAAAAGTGGAAACAAGGTCAAATGATAAAGAATGAATATAAACAACTAACACAAGTATGTAGGGACAAAATTAGAAAGCAAAAGGCACAAAATGAGATTAAACTAGTTAGCGACACAAAGGATAACAAAAAACATTCTACAAACGCATTAGAAGCAAGAGGAAGACCAAGGATTGCGTAGGTCCATAACTCAACGAGGTGGGGTGAGGGGAACAATAAACAGAAAATGTCTAAATGGCAGAAGTGATAAATGACTTTTTTGTTTCAGATTGCACCAAAAAGGTTAGTAGCGATTGGACGTCTAACATAGTGAATGCCAGTGAAAATGGGGTAGGCGCAAAGGCTAAAATAGGGAAAGAACAAGTTTTAAAAATTACTTAGAAAAGTTAGATGTCTTCAAGTCACCAGGGCCTGATGAAATGTGTCCTAGAATACTCAAGGAGCTGATTGAGGAAATACGTGAACCATTAGCGATTATCTTTGAAAATTCATGGAAGATGGGAGATTCCAGAAAACTGGAAAAGGGGATATACAGTGCCCATCTATAAAAAGGGAAATAAGGACAACCTAGGGAATTACAGATCAGTCAGTACCCAGAAAGATAATGGAGCAAATAATTCTGTAATCAGTTTGCAAACACGTAGAAGTTAATAATGTGATAAGTAACAGTCACCATGGATTTGTCAAGAACAAATCATGTCAAACCAACCTGATAGCTTTCTTTGACAGGTAACAGGCCAGGTGGATGGGGGTGGAAGTGGTAGGTGTGGTATATCTTGACTTTAGTAAAGCTTTTGATATTGTCTTGCATGACCTCACAAACAAACTAGGGAAATACAATCTAGATGGAACTACTATAAGATGGGTGCGTAAGTTGTTGGAAAACCATTCCCAGGGGCTCATCTCCCTGTGTTCTCCTCATGGCCGGATGGCAGGTCCCTCTCACACCACGTGTTATTGTCTAATTTTCAGTGCTGAGACCTAAGCTTCTGTCAGATGATCCGGGCCCCCCTGCTGGCTCTGCATGCCCGGAGGGCTGGGTCGGGTACCGAAAGAAATGCTACTATTTCTCCGAGACTGAAGGGAACTGGACCTATAGCCAGAGACACTGCTCTTCCCTCGGCGCCTCCTTGGCTGGGATCGACAGGGAGCAGGAAAAGGTGAGTGACTCTGTGATTGTGATACACTGCCCTTGGCACAGTGGCAGCTGCTGCAGTAGGACCTGGGCTCTGCCCCCGGCAGGGCGAGGAACAGCTCTGAGCCCTCTCGTGGTGGGAGGACGGAGCGAATGAACTTCCAGCAGCTGAATCCCAGCCCTGGCCAGACCCAGGGCTCCCCTACGGTCACCCCCAAACTCTAGAGCTCACCCACGCTCAGCCGTCCCCACCCTTCCATAGGAGACGGCCCCTCTCTAGGGCTGGGCTGGCTCGGGCATCTCCTGGCCTGTGGCTGCCTGGAGTGGGATGGAGAACACGGCCAGTGCTCCTGTTTTGGGGGTGGGAAAGGAGCGGCCAGCTGAGAATGAGGGGGCTCCTCTCACACTGGTTGAGAATGTAGAGCCGTGACTCAACCTTTCCAGAGCACTGTACCCCTTCCAGGAGACTGATCTGTCTTGTGTCCCCCCAATTTCATCTCACTTAAAAACGACTTGCTTACAAAATCAGACATAAAAATACAAAAGTGTCACAACCACGATCACTGAAAAATTGCTGCCTTTTTCATTGTTACCATATAATTATCAAATAAATCAATTGGAATAGAAATATTGAAAATACATGTCAGTGCACAGTACATAGAGCAGTATAAACAAGTCAGTGTTGGTATGAAATGTTAGTTTGTGCTGACTTCACTAGTGCTTTTAATGTAGCCTGTTGTAAAACTAGGCAAATCTCTAGATGAGTTGATGTGCCCCCTGGAAGACCCCTGTGAAGGACATAAATCCACACCGTGTAGAGGTCAAGCATAGAAGTTTATTATGCACAGCGCTGGCGGAGTGTCACCTGGCTTATTAGGCTCAGAGACCCTGTCAATCAATTGATTACAATGGAATATATGGATTTTCCATGGGCGGTGGAAAGTGACGGGGTAGGCAGTCCCACACCCCGGGATAGGTTTTGCAGCAAAGGAAGATAGCACATTAGCCAATGGTTAACAGGTTACATAATGTCCCCGCCCATGGTCTCAAGTTAGCTAGTTAACATTTAATTAATACTTTGAAAAAATGTTGTTAGTATAAAATATAGATGTTGAATTCTAATTTGGGGTCCATAGGAATGGAGCAACTCCTTTGATTGTCCAACAGGTACATTCCTAGGGGGTTAAAGCAAAGAAACAGTGAAAGTATATGACAATAAAGATTGTCTCCTTTATGTCTTAAGGCAGGGCATTGGTCCCTGGGAAGGGAGGTGGAAGGATGCCATATTTTATACTGACGTGCCAACTTTTCATAAACTCAGGGTTGGATCTGTGGGAAGAACATTTGCCTACAGAAGAGACTAACACAATAGAAACAGGGTGTGACGAAGTGGGACTGTTCTTAATGTTTCCTCTGAATACTGTGTGCCTCAGTTTCCCCTATGCATTTCTTAAGTCTCTAGGTGGTGGGGAAAGGCCAGTGTGCATAAATCACTGACACTCTGTCTCCCTGGCAACAAATAGCCAGCCCCCTCCCCCCCCCAGCAAGGAAATAGCTAAAGGTGAACAAAGAGATCAGGTGACCTCCTGGCGGAGGAAAGAGACAAAGCCCAGGGAAGGAGGGGCTGGAGGGGGTTTCAGAGTTGGAGTTAGCTGGGGACGAGGAGTGAGGGCAGACGTGGGTGTCTGGCTCTCTGAACCCCAGAATGGACCCGGCTGAGGGGTCCTGTTCGCTGCTGTACCTACAAGCTCTGTTTTAGACCGTGTTCCTGTCATCTAATAAACCTCTGTTTTACTGGCTGGCTGAGAGGCACATCTGACTGGGAAGTGGGGGTGCGTGCAGGTCTTCCGGCTTCCCCAGGACCCCGCCTGGGCGGACTCGCTGTGGGAGCGCACGGAGGGGCATATGCTGAATGCTCCAAGGTCAGACCCAGGAGGTGAAGCCGTGTGAGCTTCTTGCCCTGAAGACAGTCTGCTCCAAGGGAGAGGAGGCTCCCCAGAGTCCTGACTGGCTTTGTGGGGAGCAGTTCCAGAGCATCGCCCGGGGACTCCGTGACACAGGGATCCTTTGTTCAATTTGAAACATTGGATGAAACATAATTATTCAGTTATTGCTTCGACATCTGGAATTTCTACTGACCAAGCCTATCTTAGCAAAGGCAATGTTCTCTTGTTTACTCCAGCTTTCTCTTAGCTGATCACTGTTTGCTAGGCCTCTGGTGCCTTGACCATACTCTGGACTTTGGGTCTGGAAAAGAGCTGGCACAATCCATATACCAGGTTGTTATATCAAATGCACATGGATTTGAACCCTTCACCCTGTGTACCCCGAGGGATACACGTATCCCTGGTTGAGAACCACTGATGTAGAGGGTCTTCTCGCACTTCCCCTTCTTGGCGGAGGATGGGGGTTAGGCAGGCTCCTCTCAGCATTGACCCCTCCCACTTCAGATTGACCCCTCCCCTCCCTTGACTTACTCCCTCCCTCATACCTTGCTGTGGTGAGCAGCGGCTGCTCTGTGAGAAGAGACGTCTCTGCAGAGAGCTTAGACCCAGCAGCTGTCCCCAGCTAGGGTGACCAGATAGCAAGTGTCAAAAATCGGGACAGGAGTTGCGGGATAATAGGCGCCTACGTGAGAAAAAAACACAAAAATTGGGACTGTCCCTATAAAATCGGGACATCTGGTCACCCTACCCCCAGCCAGGGGAACTTGGGGTGCAGGTGACTGGGAGCACAGGGGCGGGGCTGCTGTGTGCGGTGGGAGGGTTAATTCTGCCTGGAGACCTTGTGCTTTGCAAGAGGGAGGGGGAAATCCAGCGTCCTTCTGAAAATAAACTGAGCGCCTTCAATGTGTGACTGGGATTCTCTGCAGCACAGAGCCCTGGAGGGTTGGGGCGGGGGAAGCACCAGTGCTGGGCCTGATACCTGCCGTCCCTCGGCTTTCTTTAAGGCGTTCCTGCTGCGCCATAAGGGTGTCCATGAGCACTGGATCGGCCTCCGGAGGGAGCAGGGGCAGCCCTGGAAATGGGCCAACGGCACCGAATTCAACCACCCGTGAGTGTGTCACCCTCTGTACTAATTCCCTGGGCTTGGGGATTCTGGTGTCTGAGCTGTTTGAGTTCAGGTGGATCCACCATTCAGTGCTAGTGAAACGACCAGCCATGACCCTGGTCCGTTCGCGTCCTGCGTGTACCAGAGACCGATGGGAGCCGGCGTGTCCCGGAACTCTCGGCTCCTCCCCGCAGCGCGGTGCTGGGCCGGAGACAGAGCCCGCCATAGCCAGAGGTGTCCTCGCAGCGCCCTGGGATTTCAGCTGGGACACTCGGTATCCTTCCTCAGCCCTCGTCTGCAAGGTCCCGGGGGTGGGGGGACGCAGGCAGCAGGGAGCTCAGGTTAACATGGCTGCTAGAGAGGGCACCCTTGGTGTGCCCAGCACTGCATTGCAGGTGCGGGTCCTTTTCCCTTTCCTGGGATGGACCCCCAACCTACCTGGAGACGGACTGGGGGAGGGGGAGACCCCAGCCTGCCCAAAGAGTGGTGCTGGCCCCCCTCGCAGACGACTGTGGCGTATGTGACCCTGTCACTAGCCGGGATGGGAACGTGGGGAGCCCCATGTGGGGGTTTGATCCCGCCCTTCACCCAGGGCTGAAGTGCTGCCTCCAGCGCTAACGTGAGGCACTGCAAGAGCTGATGTCATCTCACAACGCCGCTGGGTTTGTGCTGCAGTCCCTGTGCTGCTGCCATTTTGCTCCAGCCTCCCCGGTGCATCTGTCCTGACCGGCCTCTGCCCTGACGGGACGATGGAAACTGTCCAGGGAGCCCCCGTCTAGCTCTTCCACCTGGTGGGTTACAGCTGCTCCCTGCCGTGCAGACGCCTCTGGAGTCTCTCCCCCGGGGCAGCTTGGCTGGGTTGTTCTGGGGAGTCTGGACCTGCAGGGGCCCGTCCTAACCCAGGCTGGGCGGGAGTGAGCCGAGAGTGGGATTCAATTGTCTACCCATCTTAAAGGCTTCATGGCGACCAGTCAGACTTCTTAGAACCCCCACCCCCGTTCTATTGTCCCTGTCTGCTAGACTAGTGATGGGCGTGGAGCCTGTCACTTGTGCTCTTTGGGAATCCTGAATAGAGTCAGGCCAATATTTTTTTTCCAGCAAATGGTAACTTTGCTGAAAAATGCATTTTGGGGACACGGTAACTATTTGCGAATTCACCAAATAGTTTTAGCTGTGGGAAAACATTCATTTAAAAAAATGATAAAGTAGTTTGTTTCGGCCATTTCCAATCTAAACCTTTTGACTTTTTGTTTTGAACGGATGTTTTGTTTTTGAAATGTAGCTATTTCTCTTAAAAAAAACCCCAGAAGGTGAAAAACACCCAAAATTGAAATGAAAAACTTGGGTTTGGGTTAAATGAAATGTCTTGTTTGATGCAACACAATTTTTTTTCTGTGTTTCATTTTGTTTTCTTGACCTGAAATAAATTGTTTGCATTTTAGTGAGGAGGGGGAAACAAAAATCAGTTCTGGTTTGAACCAAACTCTATTTCAGTTTGGCCCCCGAGCTGAACAGTGAATGATTTGCTCCGCTCTGCTCCTGAGGGGCTGTGAGAGTAGCTGCTCCGCACTCAGGCCTGCACTGTGAGAACAGCGCCCCCTGGCTGTGACTAGTGTGAAATGCCCGGGCTCTGCCTGACTCCAGCTCCCTGGCTTCTGTGTTGCAGGTTTGTGATCAGAGGAGGAGGTGACTGCGCGTATCTGAATGGCGGGAATGAAGTCAGCAGCTCACAGTGCTACATGGAAAGACTGTGGATCTGTAGCAAACCGGAGGTGTATGTGATGGGAAAAGGGACTGCACTGGAAGGGAGCTCAAAATAAGTCTCTGAGGGCTTGTCTACATTACCCGCAGGATTGACAGGCAGCAATCGATCCAGCGGGGGTCGATTTATCACATCTAGTCTAGACGCAATAAGTCGACTTCCGAGCGCTCTGCCGTCGACTTGGTACTCCACCTGAGCGAGAGGTGCAGGTGGAGTTGAAGGGAGAGCGTCAGCTGTTGACTCACTGCAGTGAAGACACCGCAGTGAGTAGATCTACGTACGTCGACTTCAGCTACGCTATTCACATAGCTGAAGTTGTGTAACTTAGATCGATCCGCCCTCCAGTGTAGACCAGGCCCTAGAAATTACACCGATACAACTCACACTTAAATGAACCATGTCCCCATTCGTCAGCCTGGCCAACCTCAAGATCTCAAAATCAGGCAGTGGGGCCCTCAAGCAACAAGCATGTGTAGTTTAAACCGTGGATTCTTTGTATGTGCTTAGGGTGACCAAATGTCCTGATTTTATTGGGACAGTCCTGATTTTTGGGTCTTTTTCTTATATAGGCTCCTATTACCCCCACCCCCTGTCCCGATTTTTCACATTTGCTGTCTGGTCACCCTATATGTGCTTCTGCTTTAAACTGAGGGTCACAATGTCAAGCTTTTCTCTGCAGCTGAGAGGGAGTGATCTTATGAGAAGGAGTCTCAGCCACACACTGGGGAAATGAGGGAAGGGGAGGCCTTGTTAGTTTAGACTCCAGAACAGCATTTCTCAAACGTGGCCACCAGCCGATAGAGCCTCCAAAGCGCCTCGACAATCACTGAGATGTTAAGTATTAAAGTTGCCTTGTAAATGCCATAAATCATAATGCACCCTCCCTTCTAAATAGTATGGTCCAGGTAGAGCTGAACTACATAGGTGTTGCTCTCTTTCAAGTCACAAAGCGTATTCATTGGCTAATCACTGTGCTTACATCTCATGTTACTGTAGCTCCGTAAGCGGCTATTAGCCGTCTCACTGCATGGTGTTTGGGTAGGTTGCGATTGTTCAGGGGGGAGGTGAAAGAGTTAAAAATGCAAATGGGGATCAGAAAGTATTTCGAATAATCTAGTGCCAGCAAATGACCCTGAATGTGACAGAGAGAAAAATGAACATTTCAGCACTGGGGGAAGAGCAGTTTCTTGTTTCTGAAGCATCCGATTCCATTCCTGAGCAAGTTGCAGTGTGCGCTGTTTGTAAGAGAGAAATTCATCACATTGAAATGTATGTAGTGCAACGTCCCTATAGCACTCATGCCGGGGAAGTTGAACAAAATTACCACGGTGAGTTTCAGAGGCGCAAGCTGTTAAATGATGCAAAAACCAAGCTCAAAAGACAACAGCAACGGCTCAGAGATTTTGTTGTTACTATTATCATTATTATTACTGGGTTGGATTCATTTTTGTAGTTGTCAATGAAAGAAATTTTGGACATATTGGCAGATATGTTCTTTAATTATGATTTGGACTATTATGTAAAGCATTTTAAAATGTAGTTCAGAATTGTTGTACAGCCATCCACCTTTTACTAAAAAAGCAAAAGAACAACACAAAAGACAAGAACGTGCAAAACACTTGTTTGGTTTTGTGTTGAGGTCCAGTAAAGAATAGACACAACTGTACCTTGTATTTATTATTGAGTCTGGGGAAAAAACCCTATGTAAATATGCACATGTAATGTATTTATTTGTTTTTCCTACAGTTAATTAAGTATTGTCTGAGCCGCATTCTGAGGATGCTAGAAATTTGGGAGAACCCCGGCTCGAGAAAGTGTTATGGTTTTGTTTTCTATGTAACCATTACTTCACAGTATTTATTCACTCTCGCTTGCATTTCTGTTCTTTGATGATAAGCTCATTCTTGTTTTCTGTGTATATAGATTTATAGCTAAGTGCTGTGTTCTAAATAGAGTGGTTGGTTTGAACTGAATCTTACGTGCTGCTGTGGACTGCGCCTGTGGGAAAAGGGAGTCACAGTTCTGCACATGCTCAGTGGAACAGGGGCTGAGCACTCCAAGGGGATGCTCAGGCCTCGGGGGGCTGGTGGGTGCCTGTTGCTAACCTGTACAGAGCGAGCGAGGCCTGCAGGGGGCTGGAAGGTCGGGCTTGCGCTGCCAGGGGTAGGTGGTTTCAGAGAGCTGACCCATGGCAGGCATGGACAAGGGTCCCCTAAAGGTGCCTCATATGCCTGCTATGAATCGCTCAAATGGGCACCCGTACCATGCTCATTCCACTCCTGTGCCCCCAGGTACAACCCGCACCAGGCATTTTACTGGGGCGAGGAGAACAAGCGCGCGACTGCCCTTCTGTTCCATTCCTGCTGCTTGCACGGAGCTAGGCTCCTGCAATGGTTTTCAGTGTTTGCTACTTTAAGTGGGTTTGGTGTGCGAGTGGATGGGAGGGGGAAGGGAAAAGGGAGTCAGAAAGTTGTATCCAGAGGGTTTTAGGAAATCATCAACCTCCATAGTCACATGAAAGCCGTAGCAAATAAAGTATGTGAACTACCACCCTACACTGCCTCACGTTCCCCCACGTGTGTCAGCCTGCGCTGCAAGGATGGGGGTGCACAAGACGTCTCTATTTACCTTGCTCGGCTGGACCCAACCCCAGTGATAATGGGGGGATTTCTGGTTGGCTGTACTGGGCCTGCAACCCAGCAGTGACTTGAGCCCACTCCAGGTGAAAAGTCTCACCCATAGTCTCACAAATAGGGTGCAGGCCCTATCAGGCCATACTGCGGTCGGCGTTAGCACCGCTCACCACAGGGCACTGGGCAGCAGGAGGTTCAGTTACTCAGTTGGTTTTAAGAACCATGGCAGGAGAGGGGAGGTAGGAGCCCCTTAAAACTATATTGGGCACAGACAGGCTCTGGAGAAGTTTGATTTGCCCCATGGCCCTGTCCCCCAAGGCCTCATCCTCGCTCCACCTTTTTCTGCCCCCGCTCCGACCTTCGCCCCAGCTCCTCCCACCCACTGTCGAACAGCTGATTGGCTGGTGGGTGCTGAGCACCCACTAGTGTTTTTCTGGGGATGCTTCAGCCCTGGAGCACCCAGGGAGTCAGCACCTATGGCAGGTGCGTAAGAGTAAATGACGTGTGTGTGTGAGAGGGACCGAGAGAGAGAGAAGTTAGATAATTGCTCTATTGATAAACACAAGAGTTAAAAATGAGTCAGGCCTCAAAACCGTCACCAGCCGAGACCCACTTAAAAATACTAAAGGCCGAGTCCTTTTTATTTATCTGCTGGTTTGTGAGCCTTTGGCGGTCATAGTTTCTAGCATTCTCTGCAAGGGTTAAAGACTTCTTTTTATCCTCCCTCCCTAAGGAAACCCTGAGAACTGAGATTCTGGCCTACGCACAGGACTCCAGGAGCTGGGGCTTTAAGAAAAATACCAAATATCATGAGACATAAAAGGGGAGAATGGGTAGAAAGTTACAGCTGGTTTAGGGAAAGTGCAACTCCCCTTATCCACCTAGGAGTCCGAAGGAAGCAGATGAGGACTGTGAGTGGAGTGTATCTGAGTCCCCTGGCCTCCTGGGGTAATGCGGATTATACTCTGCCACTGCCCCCCAGCTCTGCCTAAAGCCGCAGTCTAGCCCCATAGGAGATTAAAGCCGGGTACTTCACATTACAAATCCGGATCCTTAGTCCTGTTCTATCACAACAGCTTCTTTTTGGCAGATCCATTTGAGTTCAGCATCACACGTCTCAGACTGAATCTCAGCATCCACAGCTGTTCCCTGCAGTAGAGCCCAAGACCTGAAAGCTGCAGAAATGAGAAACAGCCCCTGTCATTGTGCTTCCCTTTAACCAGAGAAGGTCTCACCAGCAGCCATTGCTCCTCAACCTTCACTCTATTGGGAAACTTGGCTCCAGCATCATCCATAATTTTCCAATAGAGCCCCAGCTGCTCAAAGACACTGCAGGATGGGAGGTGAGTTTGGTTGTCTCTCGCAAGGAACAAACTGGGCTGAATCACAATGGGTCAGCCCCCTTGTGCTTTTTCTTTGGAAGCTGCCATTTTGTGCTCCAGCATTTCAGCTTTCCTTTAGCAACAAAGTCTGGATTTGAAGAAAACCTGCACAATGTGACCCAACTGTAACCAGTGCGGCAAGTCTGCCTGAGTCTGCAGAGAGCCTGAAACAATCGCTCTGGGAGAGCAAACTGCCACAGGCATCGCAGTGGGATGTTAACTCAGCTCCCTGTTACAGAGAAATGAAATGTCAACACTGTTTGTATGGGAGAAAGGAGAGGGGTTATCAAATGATAAGGATCTGCCCCATTTACTGGGAGCAGCGACTGATTTTGGCCCCACAAATGGCCAGTGCCTGAGAGCTACCACCACCTTTCCCCCCTGCAGTCTGACTCTGGGAGCCAAAAGGTGTTAAACCCAGGCGCTCAGCTCAGCCCACAGTAGCTGGATTAAAGCAATGCAGGGCCATAGGGAGAACCTCCCATGGAGGGTCCCCCATGACCACAGCACCAGCAACCACTGTACTGCTGGCCCCCACCTTGTAGCCTAGCAGTGGTGGGAGCAGCAGCAGCATTCTTACACGTCATGTCCTTCAGCTCCCCACGCTCTCAGAGGAAGTCGGGGTGTGATGGAGCAAGCAGGTTCCAGGGCTTTGGGGACTAGCCTGCGAGACCTGGGTTCAATTCCTGCTCTGCCACAGACCCCCTGTGTGATGTGGAGTAAGTCACTTAGTCTCCTCAGGCCTCCATTTCCCCATCTGTCCAGTGGGTATAACAGCCCTGGCCTGCCTCACAGGAGTGTTGTGAGGATAAATTCACTGATGATTGTGAGGCACTCAGGGACTGCAGTGCCGGAGGCAGGTAAGTACCTTACACAGACAGACGTTGTACATTTAAAATGAGCAGGTTCTACCAGGGGAGCTTTCCCAAGCGTACAGCAAACACCAGGCAACACTCACAGTGTTTGATCTAAGCGGGAACCGTCCAGCCAGGTCCATTTCCCCTCTGGGGGTGTCACTCTTAAGTCCAATCCAGACCTGATTTGCACCTTGTACAACATCCTGTATGGAATCCCATGAGGTGCAAAGCAGAGGGGAGGAGGGTGAATGTGTCGTAACAGGCTACAACTCCCTTAGTGCTCCTGTTTAATACCCACTCTTTGCTTTGGTGGCTCTGCCCATAATGCAGCAGGAGAACCCATCAGCCCCTGAGCTAATTCACCCTCGCCCCTGGGCGGGCAGAGTCCCAGTGCAGGGGTGGGAAATGTGGCTCTCTCTCTCTGCAGGCGTGGTAATGCCAGCACCAGTCCTTGGTGTCACAGGGTGAGCTGGCCCTTCAGGGAGTCCTGGGTTCAGCCTCACCTGTGACCAGGTGCCCCTGGACTGGGAGGTTCAGGTGAGACAAGCAGGTGGCCAGGAACCAGGCCTGGTGGGGCTACAAGGGCAGCCCGAGGTCAGTCAGGGCAGGGAGAGATTTGATGGAGTACGAGAGTTGTGTGAGAAGCCCTACACAGAGGCTCTGCTTAGCTCTCAGACAGGACTAGCTGGGAAGTCTGGGGTGGAAGAAGATCTGTGTTGTTCTGAACTGTATGTTAATCAGCCAGACTCCCCGAAGGGGAGAAAACCTCCCAGTGTGGGGTTTGATTAACTGGGGGGAAAAGGAGAAATGAGGCAGAGGGGTAGAGCCAGGCTGGATAAACCTGCTGCTCTGGGACTGTAACTAGTGACACACGTCTCTCTCCAGCTGGAGTGTGATGAGCCTGTATTTTATGTTACCATCTCCTCCTGGTTCTGGATCACGAGCATTTGAGCGCTCTTCCCCGAGCAGTCATCACGGCTCCGACTCCAGTCTTTACGCTCCTTAGACAGCCAGTAGCACTTGTTCCCACGCAGCAGCCAGTCCCTGGAGCAGAGTTTGCACTCGGAGCCCTCTGGAGTGGGAGAGGGGAACAGAGGTGTCATTAATTCTGAACATTCAAACTGTGGCAGGCTGAAAAGAGGAGGTTACTCACCCTGTGCTGTAACTGGTGTTT